AGAGAGAGAGAGAGAGAGAGAGAGAGAGAGAGAGAGAGAGAGAGAGAAGTGGCCTTGAGTATTTGGCCATAGCAGAAGCAGCATTATGAAAATGAGTAATCTAAATTCATTGCCCATCTCCTTTACAGCCTCTAAAACCAGCAGTTCTTTTTATCTCTTTTTCAGTGTACCCAAATGTTTAGTCATTTTCTCAGACCACTGTGGCAGAAGAGTTTACACTATATTTAATTTTATTAGCTGCAGAAAAGCTTCCAAAACATCCTGAAGTAGATTTGAAGATACCACGAGCTGAAATGTCTCAGGCACGTAGTGCTTTCTTTCCCTGTGCTTTTCTGGGACCTCATGGAAGAGACTTAATATTTAAGAACAGAAAATATTGATTCTAAGATTCTCCACTGAAAGCTGAAATAATGTGCTTTCATTAATGCCTGAACAAACACAAGAACTATAAGCACTGAATTAAGACTGCCCCACAAGGACCCATCTCAAATATTTGCTGAGAGCAGAATAAGCAGAGCTGTCACTTTTTCTTCTATTGCTGATTTGGTTTTAGTCAGCTCTAACCTTCATCTTGCGTCTAATACACTGGAATATATAGTCGCCGAACGCGCTTTATAGAAACATCATCATATGTTAAAGACACGACTATCATATTTTATAAGTTACACTGGGGAGCACTGTAGGTTCTATCACTTTTGAGAACAAATAGCAATGGAACAAAAAGAAAAAAAAAGATGTTCCTCAAAAAGGCAGTGTTCTGCTAATTTTATGGTTGCTCTCAAATCAGATTTGGATTTTGGGTTAGTAAAGGAAATAAATTTCAGATATGCCCCATTGAGGGCAAATTCAGGGCAAATTTTGGATTAAAAATTGTTCAGTGAGAACTCTGGAAAAAGTGCACTGGGTTTTTCTCATTGTAACAGATGCTGGTAAAAATGCTGAAGAATTGCAGAGGTTCATCTAGTGCACCTTTCCTCACCCTTGTACTCTCTGGATGTTCTGGACGACTTCCAGAATTCCTGGGCACTTTGCCATGTGATTCCTGGGAATTGAAGTCAAAAACACCTGGAGGAACCAGATTGGAGAAGACTGGCTGAAGGGGACATCTTGATTATTCAACAGGTAAAACTGAGCAACAAAGCCATAGTAAGAGTCAAATTAAGGGAAACTTTTTGAAGGGGAAATCCATATTCTTTTTTCCAAAACTGAGAACAATCCATCAGTGACAGACTTGGCCAGGTCTGTACCAATGCAGACGGTTACCCAGGTCTTGCAGAAAAAATATACTTGTACTGTTCCTTCTTACACCTCCCAAATGCAAACTGCTAGCATAAGCAAGCTGGCTATGGATCATGCGGTGGCCAAAGGCTGGCCACTGAGACGCTGGAGATGTGTAAGTTAGCAAGAGAGCAAGCAGGAGCCTGCTGGGAGCAGGCCGTGGCTTGTTTAATCCAGTAGCAATGCTACAATTCCCACTTCC